GCAAAATTGAAGTAATTTGTTAGTCTAATTCCTTCCCAAAGCAATTGGCAAGTTCAAGGTTAGGGGCACCATTGTTTTGTCAAGTAGGGAAGGGTTACCAAGACCTCTTTTGTGAAATAATGGTGTAGCTGTGTCTACAAAGATGTGTGCAAGAGTGATGGCATCAGGGTCTCCATATGCATGTTAAAGAAGGAAAGAAATTGTGCTTCTCTGTCACCAAGGACGTATGTGCACTTGTGCCTACACAAGAACAATGGTTCCTGTGTGTGCACTTGTGCCTACACAAGAACAACGGTTCCTGTGTGCTTGTGTGACCAATTTCTGCAGCTCTGGGTTGCCTCTATTCCTGTTTTCTCAGATGTGGTTAAAACCTTCCCCCACTCACTGAATGAATGGACAGAAGTGCCACATAAAGCAAGTCTGAGCAAGCACAGACACTGGTTATGTAAAAAAAAAAATCTGTGCTGTACTTCCACACGGATCTGCCGAGCTGGATGGATGGAAACCCCCTCTCTGCTGCCGGCATCGTGTCACACTGCAAGAGTGACACCTCTGAGCCCACAGAAATGGCACAAATGAGCTTTGCAGGTGGCTCTGCAACGAGCAAGCGCTGTTTGAGATGCTGGAGGAGAATTTCATCAAGCTTTTTTGGAAAAAGAGCTCTAGTTTCTTCTTGCTTTGAAAGAAGATTTGCTGCTGGATTTGCCATCTCTGGTCAGAGCACAAGGTCTAGACCTCAGACTTCCAGGGAAGAGAAAAAGTTGCCGAGATCATATGAAAAGGAGTGCAAGTAAGTGGTTGTGCAAGTGGTTTGTGTTCATGCTCGTGGAGGTGGAGTTGGAAGGAGAGAGGAGATGGGACAGAAGAGGTTTGCAGGGGGCTACAGAAGAGTCAAGAGGCTTGAAAGCAGAGGGAAATTCCAGGTGTGCTGTCTCAGAGCAGCCAAGAAGCAGGTTTGTGGCAAGTGTACTGGTGGGTCTGCAGAGCCCTCACCCTGCTGTGTGCCCAGGGCTTGGTGCCTGCTGGAGAACCAGTGCTGGAAAGGGAAAAATGCCTGTGCCCAGCCTGTACTCCTCCTGCCACTCAGCTGCACCTTCTCACTGCTCTATTCAACTTTTCAGGAGTAGAGAAAGTGGGGAAAAAAATAGTTCTCCTTTGTTTTGTGTTGGTGAAAGCTTTCCTGGAGCTGGCAGTGGAGGTGAGGCTTCATTTTGGGCTTCATAGACAGAGGTACAACAGCATCAGTATGTGCCCCCTGTGTCTGGCAGCACCAGCAATAATCTGCCCTGGGCAGTGATGCCATGACTGGTCTGAGGGGTTTCCCTAAGTCCTGGTGGGGCTCTGGTGGTTGGCACTAAGCACGAGGCTTGCACAGTGCTCCCACAACCTTCCAGGAGAAGGCTCATTTGGTCACCCCATGTTTTTTTTGCAGTTGCATGGGGTTTTTTTGCAGACAACTGCAGATCCTCCAGCTGTTTTTCCTGGGGACTGCGTGATGTAGTTGGTTTGGACTCAGTTGCCACATTGGGTTCCCCTCTGCATGTTCCACATCCCCTGGATGGGATGAGCTCGTGAGCCCATGGTGTCCCCATGGACTGATGGACACTGGAAACCTCTCCTGCAGGGAAAACCTGATCCTACCACACCACATGGGTCACCAGGACCTTGTTTGGTAGCCGATATTCACAGCACTGTGCGGGTTGGTGCCTGCAGCCCACTTTGTGTGGATCAGGAGGGATCAGAGAGGCTGAGAGGAACCTGGACACAATTTGTGCCCCATTGTCCATGCAGGCAATGGTGCTGATTCTGATGCTTTGCACCAGGGTGATGGCATTGTCTTTTCTGGGACACTTTGCCAGGCGGGGGTGGCTCTGTGGTCTCTAGCTGCTTGCGGTGTGCTGGTGTGTTTGTGTGTATAATGCAACAGGGATTTCAAAGAATTATATCATACAAGACCAGAACAAGGTAGGCTAATCATTAGCAGGATTAATACTAACAAATCAAAACATTTAGTTGTAATCTGCTTTGAAGCAGAAGATCTAGCCATTACTGGGTGAATGGCATTGACTATCTCCCAGTCACCTCTTTCCGTGCTTGGTTTGAGTTGCCACGTTCATGACCAAGAGCTTGGGAATGGCTGCTGAAACCCCCACCAAGCGCGGCCACAGGTGTGTGAGCACATGAGAAACCTGGAAAGTGTTTGAGTGTTAATAAACCCCAACTGTAGACCTGTACCACAATGACGGGTAAAAACTCATTACAACTCATAATATGTTTCTGTAATTTGGACTTTTAACAAGTAACTCCCAAGTAACAGGCAATAAGACCAGAGGGAATGGCCTCAAGTTGCACCAGGGGAGGTTTAGATTGGATATCAGGAAAAATTTCTTCACCAAAAGGGTTATCAGACATTGGAACAGGCTGCCCAGGGGAGTGGTTGAGTCACCATCCCTGGAGGTATTTAAAAGACATTTAGATTTGGTGCTGAGGGACATGGTTTAATGGTAACTTGGCAGTGCTGGGTTAATGGTTGGACTTGATGTTAAAGATCTCTTCCAAGAAAATGATTCTATGGAAGTGGTTCATGGTGCTTTTGAAGGTCAGTAGGAGGTTGCTGTGGAGCAGCTGTGGTATGAGCCCTTTTGTGCTGGCGTTCCTCATCTATTTTGTGTTGGATTCTTCCCTGGCTCCTTCAGTGCTGAAAGCCCTGCAGGATTGTTTTGGGTTGGGAACACCACCTTCCTCTCCAGCACTACCATATACCTAAATTTTCAAATATTGCCTTCAGATTTCTAGCAGAAAGTGTTTTTGGACCAGGTTAGCTCTTCTAAATATCATTCACTGGGATCTTCTCTGGGTTTCCATGGTGCTTTCATGACTCTCTCTGTCCTATCAAGCAATATCTTCAGGTTTATAATGATTTGAAAGAGATCAAGACCTGATCCCAGAGTTATGCAAACCTGAGCAAGCAACTGCTCTTGGTGGGTATGAAATACCACAGTTCAGTTCCCAAATTCTGCTGACTCAGCTGCAGGGTTGAGCTCTGAGAAGCAAGTACACTCTTCACACAGCTTGCCAGGGATCAGCACAGTCCAATCCATTAGCTATTAACTATTGCTCTTAACAATGACCAGTGTCAAGGACGTGCTGTGAGATCAACGAAACATGAAGGTTTAGTTGCCACATTTGTTATTCTAATCTAGGAGTCCTGTTTTGTAGTCCTGTTACTCAAATCTATGAGAAATGAAAGCAGAATGGAGTAAATATTTTTCCCTTCAAATCTCTTTAGAGCAAGACCCACGAACACCATGGGCACAACAGTGGAGTTCTTGCTGCGCAGGACTGGGACTATCTACATCTTTATGCTGCTCATCAAGATCACTGCATGGATGACCTTATTGTGAGTTTTATTTGCTGGAGCGGGATGAAGAAAAGCCACCAATTCCCTTGGATGGAACGTTTTCATGGAGTTTTGAATGAGCAATCAACTTTAAGATAAAAGATCAGGCTGACCTAAACCCATACAGAAAAGAAATGTTTCACGTTCCAAACCGATGCCTCCTTCACAATATGGAGAGAATCAGTAGGAGGGGTTAAGCTTGTGATGCAGTGAGCAGGAACAGCTAGGCAGATCTTATTGAAAATTATCAGGATTTATGAAGAAATCAGCAGTTTTTTAGGAAATTCTGCAGTACTAGTGTCGCTCCTAGCTAAGAATGTTTGTGAGTGCCAGTTAAATACTGTCCTACGTGAGGAATGTATTCTGGAAAACAACTGGAGAAGAATAACCAGCCAGCCCTCCATGACAGAGACTGAAATTTCTGATGAGATTATACTGCTGGATTAATTTTATGTTCCCTTGAGCTCTTAGATCACAAGTTAGTGAACGGTATATCTAATTTTATGTTCTTTTAAGGTGTTAGATACCCCGTGCACCAGCCTCTTGCTTTTCAGATAAGATTATCACGGGTCATTTGCATCTTAGTTTTTTTTTTTCTTGTCTCTTGGGCTGGAAAGTGAAACCAACTTCAACACTTAATAGTTCTTCTAGTTCAGCACTATCAATATTGCAAGGAGCAGGAACTTGCAGTGATCCAGAAGCACTTACTGTGCAGCCAGTCTGTGCCATGGCCGTTGCGGGGTGGGTGGATGGTGCTGGTGTGAGTACGGTTACCAGCAGCACAATTAGGAGTTGGAATCTCTCTGTACTTCAGATGAAATGTATTAAAAGCCCTATAAGAATTGTTTCCTTTCCAGAGAATGAATTCCAGTGTGCAGAAACCCACCCCCTTGCAGTTGGTATAAATGTGAAAAGAACCTGCTACTTTTCTCTCATGTGAGTTTTGGGGACACCACGTACATCCCGTTCACGTTTCAGTCAAACTCTATAGGTCTTCAGAGCTCATTTAGGACATAACCATAACAATTCCCTCCTTAAATTTCAAAACCCGCATCCCTCTGGTTATTTCTCTGGTGTGATTCAAAGGACTGTCATGACCAGAGACTAATTTGCAACATCTCAGATTACTACAGTAATATTTACTAACATTTGTTATTTTCTATGTTAAAAGTTAATGCAAATATTGCAGTGATAATTAGCCTTTTTTTTTTCCAGAAAGGAGACATCTCAGATTACTACAGTAATATTTACTAACATTTGTTATTTTCTATGTTAAAAGTTAATGCAAATATTGCAGTGACAATTAGCCTTTTTTTTTTTTCCAGAAAGGAAAGATTAAAAATCTACTGCAGAGAAGAAAATATAACCATTATAAGCCTGATCCTGTGCTTCTGACCTTCTTTTAAATAAATCAGTCCCCCCAGCACCAAGACTGCACCCCTGTTCACTGCTGTTCCAGAACTGCTGCTTCCCTTCACACACGTGTGAGGAAGAGTCCTTAAAAATGTCTCGGGACTTCTCTTCTTCTCCTTCCCCATCTCAAAAGCGGTAGTACGAAAGATTTGGGGTTTCAGAATGACAACGAAGAGGCATTACTTACACTCCAAGTTCCTTCTGCAGAGTATTTTGTACTCGCTGGTTCTCCAAGACTGGCTGCTCCCGGGTTTGCTGGTGTCTGACCCCAGGACCTTCTGCCAGTGTCCTGCCTCCCTCCCGGTGCTGGACACTGGGCTCTGGCAGTGCCAGGCTGTTTTAAATACTCCTCGTACCTCTAGCCCTGCATTTCCACCTGTTGTGCCTTAAAGGAATAGCATCCAAAAAACCCTGCCAGGTGAGCACCACCCACAGGAGAGCAGGGAAGGCAATGCCCATCCCAGCTCTGCTGTCCCCTCTGAGGGTGCAGGTTGGCATTTACCTCCCGGTTGCACAAGAGACACCCCAAGGGTAGGTTCCCAGACACAGTCGTGGTCACCTCTACCTCCTTTGGGAAGAGGGGCTGCTTGGGGTCGGGTCCATGAAAGGTCTTCTGCTCTGCTGGGAGCAGGGCACCTGTGAGACAGCTTTCTGCATGGACAAGACCAGCTATTTAGGGCAGCTGTGACTCCTTGGGTTGAATATGGGTGGCACAGAGACACTGGGGAGCATTATGGGGTCGGAGTCTGCAGGGATCCAGCCAGCCCCATCCTCTTTGTTGGCACTGCAGCATCCCCTTGAGTTGTGACAGCATTTCCCATTGTCCTGGGCAGGAGAACCCCTTGCTGCAAGGACTGACCTGGCTTCTGGTCTTATGATGCCCCCAACCAACAGTGGAACAGCTTTGTAGGGCAAAACCAGGACAAGATCAGGTGTGGGGATCTGGTTTGTTTGGGTTTTTTTAAGCTGTTGCACATTTTTTGGAAACCAATGTTTCTGTCTCTCTCCCTTCACTGCTCTTTCCAGCCCCTCAGCCTCCTGGGAAGAGCAGGAGTCTGGGTGGGCAAGGGTTGGTCTCGTCTGTGCAGACCAGGAATGTTGTAAGCTCTTTAAAATGAAAAATAATCAACTAGAGCTTTGCTGTCATCTTCAACCTTGTTTCTTTGCTCTCCTGCTATAGGTGTATAGGGGCCCAGATGGAAATTCCCTGTGAAGTGTGGGGTTGTCAGAAATGGAAGGGCAAAGTAAAATTAATGAAGATGAAAGTATTTGTATTATGTGGGATGAATCATTAACTTGTTTTACCTTGTACTAATGATGCAAAAGCAGTAATTTCTTCTAACTAGGGGGTCACACCAAGCTTTTCTCCTCCGCTCTCGGTGAGGGGTGTTGAGCTTAAGTGGGGTGGCAGCTCCCGGAGCTCCTGCCGTGCCTGGGAGCAAGGAGATCCTGACCGGGATGTTTAGCAAATTTGTCAGATGGTAAGACAGCCTTGGAAGTACCTTTCCTGTAGCTACGGGTGTCGAGCCCCCTTCTCTCCGTGAATGCACAGCTTTTGAGGTGAGGAAGGAGCTTTTGAGGTGCAGAAGGCTGTTGCTGTGCTTGCACGGGGTGATCTAGTGGGGATCTCGCACTGAGAGAACAGCCTCCATCTTTCCCAGATGGGAAGAAGTGCTGATCCCTTGCAGTCCATCTCCTTCCCACCAGAACTGCTTCTCTGGCTGCTCTTGGCATTGCTTTTAACTCTTGGCCACAATAGACACAGGTGTGTTTGCTCTCCCAAACCTCCTGCTCTCCCAGGAACTTTTCCCTTTGGGTGCCAGCGTGTTGGCTGTCCCACTCACCTCCCCTCAGTCCTGCAGTTGGCCTGGAGAGGTGTTTCAAAGAGCCTGGGATCGTGAAAGACACTCAAGAGGACAGTGGCATGACCACGGGTGGGGAAAGTCCTGGTAGAAACCAGCCATGGGGACCTGCCACCACTTAGGCATCTCAAGGAGGAAAAGTTAGTCCAGGGTGGGTAAACAGTTTATTCAACCAAACCACTGCCTTCGCCCTTAAGATTTCTGGTAAAACCGATTCGTTGCCTCATGCAAATATATTTACTTGCTTTAACAGAGGAGGAAGTGTCCTCCTGCCAAGTCACAGGTTCCAAAGCAATTTGGCATCTCCAGAAAACAAATAGCCCTGAACTTGCTTTTTTTTCAGGCCAAAGCACAGTTTGCAGCATGACATGCAATCTGAGCCTTCAACCAAAGCTGCTCTTTGGGTCTGGGCTGCGTTTGGGCAGAAACGGTTTGATTTTTGCGACTGGATAGTTCAGCAGAAGAAATGTAAGAAAAACAGCACTTGAGAATTTGCGTATCTTTGATAAGACTGAAGTCAGGTATGGTTTACACGTTGCAAAGTGACCCAAGGGATAAGGATTTTTAAAAATGTCAGAAAATCCTCTTTTTTATTTTTTTTTTTCTGCCTAGCACTGAGCAAACCTGCAGCCATGAGGGTCCTTCCCACCCTCTCCAGCTTTACCTTTCCCTCAGGGTGCTCTGTCTACAAGAGACGGTCAGGGTGGCGCACAAATAGCTCGATTACAGCTGCATTATTTTATTCTCTCTTCTGCAATCTCTGTGGGGATTTGGCTCCCGACACGGGGCGTTTGGCTTCTGAGCGGGGCAGCGAGCAACAAGTGGGGCCAGGGACTTGGCAGTTTATACCGTGCCTCGTCTTTCCGGGGGGAAAATTCCAAGCTCATGTACACGGGGGCTTTGGGGGAAGAGAGTTCTTCCTCAAGTCTTCATCGGTCACCTTGAAAAGAACTTTTTTCCCCATAGGGTTGCTGTAAATAGAAAACAAAACCAAAAGAAAAGCTGTGATCGGGCATTGCCTCTCTACAATATTTTTACAAGTGATTTTGTGGTTTTTGTTTCTGGTTTCACACCGAATTTGATATTTTAAATGGGTCTGATACCTCAGGGAGTCCCACAAAGAGAAAACTAGAGAAACCTGGGTTGGAGGGGACTGCTGGAGTCCACCTCCTGCTCGGCTTCAGCGGGGCATTATCCCGGGCTTTACCCCAACCAGACATTTGAAAAACAAAAAGCACAATTAGAAACCTCTGGTTTAACTTCTCATTTTAAAAAGTTTTTTTATGGAATGTCCATTCTTTATTTTCAACGCTTTAAGGTGGTGTGTGTACACTTTTCTTTCCTTTTTTTACCTTTAAGACCTTCATACGGCTCCTTTTTTTGTAAAGTAAAATCTCAAGCAGCAGGGAAACATGTAGTTTTAGCAGGTTGTCTCATCTCCACAAAATATTCTAGATTTCAAACTTAACGGCCTGGCTTTTAAAGTCTCTCTTCTTTTGATGTCTACAGTGTATTCTCTAAATAGCTTTGAAAAACGTGATATCTGTAGATCTGCTTTGTGCTTTCGATCAAGCCAGTGGATGTTTCAAAGAAGAAAAGAAACACAAGCAGAAACGTGCACAGAAGGGTTGCCTGTTCCAGAGGGTGCAAATTGTCACAATCGCTTATTTCCCTCCGCAACTATCCGACTTTAAAATATTATCACCTGCTTATATACGATCAGAGAGTTTGGATCTATTTGCATAGTAATGAAAATATGAAATGCCATAACCAAATTTTTTGAACCACTATTCCACTAGGTTTGATTTTTGGTTTTTTGTTCGTTTGGTTTTTTAGGGGAGAAGAGTGCATTTCACTGATAGGAATCCCATATATTGCTGATTTTTGGTTTTTTGTTTGTTTGTTTTTTTAGGGGAGAAGAGTACATTTCACTGATAGGAATCCCACATATTCAATATACTTTAAATATTTGCTCAGATGTTTTTTACAAGAGCTGCTCCCTACAGCACTGGTACTCTGAGACACTATTTTTATATTTTGCCAGACAACATAGACTCTTACACAGGAGTTGCTCATGCTTCCAAGGATGGCATTGCCAGACAACATAGACTCTTACACAGGAGCTGCTCATGCTGAATCTTCCAAGGATGGCGTGGATTATCCTACAGGAGTAGGACAAAAGAGTTGATGTGATTGCAACACAGAGAACAAGAATTGCTCCTGTGTAAGATTGCAAGAGGTCATAAGCAAAACAGACCTTATTGAAACGAGTAAGCAGGAAGAGCAATAACGAGTTTACTAGGCGTAAGCAAAAATTGTAATCAAGCCTGTAATAAATTTATAAACCTTATATAGGATTTAATCCAATTCTTTTGAAATCTGTGGCTCAACGTTCCTTGGAAAGCAATAAAGGCAATAGTTTGGCATCAGAGTATGAATCCTGGGCTGTGGGATCATAATTCCTGGGCTGCAAACCTGTCCTGGGGAGGTATTTTACGTATGAAGCCGCAAACCCTCCACTTAAAACTTGTTCTTATTCTCTTCTACCAAGGGAGAGAACCTTTGCAGGGCCAGTTCCAGGAATCACCCACCTATGTTTGCCAGGGGCTGTCCCACATCCTGCGCCTTTTCAGGGCCCGGGGTTTTCTCCGTCCTTTGTTCTTTCACGGGGTTCAGGTCAGACCGAATCCGCGCTGCTTCCAGGTTTCCCATGGCGCTGCTTTCTTCTCCTTAAAGCCAAAAAATGTGCAGGCAATGGAGAAAACACCTCTAATGCCTATTTTAATAGACAAGCCATGTCCTAACGTATTTTACGTATGAAGCCGCAAACCCTCCACTTAAAACTTGTTCTTATTCTCTTCTACCAAGGGAGAGAACCTTTGCAGGGCCAGTTCCAGGAATCACCCACCTATGTTTGCCAGGGGCTGTCCCACATCCTGCGCCTTTTCAGGGCCTGGGGTTTTCTCCGTCCTTTGTTCTTTCACGGGGTTCAGGTCAGACCGAATCCGCGCTGCTTCCAGGTTTCCCATGGCGCTGCTTTCTTCTCCTTAAAGCCAAAAAATGTGCAGGCAATGGAGAAAACACCTCTAATGCCTATTTTAATAGACAAGCCATGTCTTAACAGACACAGGATTCGGCCCATTGTTTTTCCCATTTTCACTCTTGTGGAAAATGCACTTCCACTCACCACTGTCCTGGAAGGTTTTTGTCCCTAAATTTATCTCTAGGGACATGGTATGCTATAGAATAAGATATATGTATATGTTTTTGAAAATTGGGTGATAGCAGAGATTTTTTTGGGCAAGTCTTTGTCAGCTTTGCACCAAATGGGCTGGTTTCAGCCCCGAGAAGCCGCCTGGCACGTAGTCACTCACATCGTGCAGGTCCCTGCCCTTTATACTTCAGGATTTCCGAGCACTCGCTGGAGCCGTAAATCTTCTATACACAAAAAATCAACCTTGAATTTCCATTTCCTTCATCTGCTTTTTGGTGAAACTTA